CACGGACCGACGTCGACCAGACGTTGAAACGACTTCGGGGGGTCATAGGCGTCGCCTCTGATCAAATATGGGTTATCATCTAAGTGCGTTAGATGAATAACAAAAAAACTTACATTCTTGCGAAAAATAACGAGTAATATGTTAGATATCAAACAGGAATTAACCTTTGCAGCGCACTGCATAACAATTGCAACATGAGGAACGCTACGTCATTTTGATTCATAACAAAATTTGTTTTATATCGCAGAATAAAATTTTATAATGGATTCTTAAAAGTTTTATATAAACATGTACAATATTTATTTATTTATAATATTTTTAATAATTTGTTCTCTTAAAAGAAATTAATTGTATGATCATGGAAAAAAGAGAGATTTTAGGTAAAATTGATTATTGAAGTAAAATAAAAATTATTGATACTTTTATAAAATGCGCACATGAAATTTTATCATATGAGTTATAAAATCTTTAAGATACCAGAGTCACGAGTGTTTAAGATATGAATCATGACCGTCAACCTCGAAGATCTTGGAAACTTATATCTTTTTTCTTCTTATAAAGTTTCGTATTAAATTCGAAATTTTCTCTCTGCTTTAGAGAATATTTTAATTGCGAAAAGATCCAAGAGTTTGAAAGTCACTTCCCGCCGCATGTCTTGTCCCGGATTAGAATTTCAATTTCGCGAAATATATTCCTGTCAATTTATTTTAATTCGCTCATTTTCTTATAAGAACGTCATTCTCGTTAAATGGAAAACTTTTCATGAATTTTGCAATAAAAAAGAAATAAAATTAAGTATCACGTTCAAAAGGACAACTGAATTAAAAGGGATTTACGGGCTTCATTCTTAGATAAAGTGTAATAATTTTAAGATAAATTCCTAATTTCTAATATAGAAAAGTTTCAAAGAAAATCAGAGGACATACAATGGAAAATAACGCGGAAATGTGAATTCACGTCGTTTACAAGGTTTCACAACCGTACATTCGTCGATCGTGAGCAAAATCGCTTTATTTATGTTGTCTGTTTATGTTGTCCTTGTGTGCGATCAATATCGTTCAATTTTCTAATACAACGCGATTTCTCCAATTGGCTCCAGGGATTGTACCTTGATTGAACCCACCAGTCAACTATCTTGAACAAAATCGTGACTACATGCGGGTAATCAATTTTTAACCGCATTTACAACGTGTATAACGTTGACCGCGTTATAATTGCGTCATTAAGATATTAGAGAAAATTAGATGAAAAATGAATATTACGTTATTTATTCGACCATCAATAAAAGCTTGATTAATTAAACTGTGCGAAATCTCCTCCTCTTCGCCCACAATACTTTATATTCTACTTTCCCCACATTTGTATCGTAGAAATTATTTCATTTCTCGATGAGATTTCTCATCGCTTTTTTTCTATATTTACATTTTTAACGTAACGAAAAGAAATTAGCATCCTTAGTGCTAAATATTTAATAGCGACCTTGCGTCAATATAAGCTATAGGCTCTTTTTAGCATTGATAATTTGCTCGGTCGTGCCTCTGTATCAAGTTCACGATATACGCTGTTAATGAATATCATCGTGGAAAAATAAGCACGAAGCACATTTGCTATTTATATTTTCAGCTTGACTAAGCATATCTTTTTTGTTTTGACGATAATTGCGAATGCATAGCATGAAAGAATTTTTTTTCATCCCATATTATAGATTTTTAATTTTCTTGTAAACAAAGATCTTATCAATGTTGAATATATATTTGTTCTTTTTCTATTTATTTTAATCCAGCCAGCAAAAAGAAAAGAGAGGGAAAGAAAGAGAATTTAATATATATACGAGAGAGAGAATATTTTTAAGTACATATAATTAAATTATATTAAAATATCATAAAGAAAATATCGTTAAATATATTTTTTTTATTTCACGTTTTTGGCAGATTTTTAAGAGCATTTCTCTGATTTTAAAGAGATTAGGTATTCCATGATATGTACAATAGGCGCCAATGATGCCTTAACATATGAAATGGTCGCGAATTTGAGACTAATATCTATTCATTATTAATCCCGAATGCGACCAATTTCATATGTTAAGGCATTATTGGCGCCTACTGTACATAGATAAATAGAAATTGCTTTTTTTAATTCAATTGTTTTTTAACTGGAGCAGAGTTTTTTAACATGAGCGCGTTCCAACACAGCTATTTATTGATTCGCGTACAATTTTAATCGAAAACATCGTATCGCTTCAGTCTTCATTAATAATGGATATTTAAGCGACGAGTTGAAATTCAGATTCGCGCTGCAAGTGCCTCTTTACGTAACGCTTCTTTTTTTTGCATTTTCAAGCAGTCGTTTCTACTTGAGAACCATTGCTTCAAATGTATTGTATCATTCTTCATTGTTATTATTACGAATCTGTTATGTCATTGGAGATAATACTCGGTTTTTGAATCGGTCAAGGAAAGAAATGTATGCATAACGTATGAAACAGCTGATTTTTTACGCAGTTCAACAACTTGTGTTGTGATAGAGCGTGTTCCTCTTTTTTTTAGAAAAAATCCAAAATGTTCGGCGGTGCATCACGAGACTCGAAAACGTTGCGCAACCTTTGAGTTTTTCATTTGCATCAGCGCATAAAAAGCACGAGATAACGTACAAAGTATTTTTTCTCTCTCGGTACATAGTGTAACATTGCTCAGAGAGTTGTTACCTGCGGCCATCGCAAACTCCAATAATCATTACGTCGTAAATGTGTAGGACGTGCGCGTGAATTAAATATTTCTAGTGCTCGCAATGAGATATTTGATCTTGATGCTTATGTATATAAATTTTACAAAACTCGAATTATCTCATGCAAAAAAGGTAGATGATGAAATGGGAAGCTGCAGTTTGCGCAGACTATTTATTTAGTCTTACAAAATATAATCTTGTAAAACTTTTCTTATTGAGAAACGAAGCAAAGTAGACCTTTTCAAAGACCTTTGAGGAAGAAACAGGGGAGGGAGGAACAAAGTAGGAGGCGGGACTAAAGAGTGAATATTGATATAGAAATTGTAAATAACGATATTTATATCTTTTTCTTTTTTAGAAGAAGAGTCTAAAGTTCCAGATGCGCGATCGACACTCAAGTAGAATTTCTTATCGATTACTATCGCACCAGTGCATAGTACAAGTGATTGTAAACGTTGACGTTAACGAATGCTCCGTGGATTATGGCCGTACGAAGTGCACTCGGCTATCGGACCTGCCGACATCAAATGAAAGATTCGCGGAGATATTGTCGAAAAATGCGCCGATAAATATTTATGCGAACTATCCTATGTAAATGTAAACACACGTCTGCGGACATTATGATGATTATGCGCTTCATTTGCTATTCGCATCCTATTGTGACCCTGCAATTTTTACGTTTTCCACGCGCGAGAATTGTCATTTATTCTGTATGATTCGAGATACACGTTGGCAAGATACACTTGTCTTCCCTTTATATTATTAATAAAACGACGTAACATTGAGTAGTGTCGGTTTTAGACATCAACGATCGATGTAGATAAATAACAGCCCACGAAAAATTAATTAATTAATTAGTAATAAATAAATTTATTAATTTGATTTAAGAGTAAAATTCACGCACCTGTAAGATTAAATAATTGATTCTAACAAAGAATTATTAAAAATTGATTCCTTTTTCTTCGATTAAATTTCTAATATATAACTTAATATTGAGTGCTACAAATAGATTGGTATTAATAAAATACTTGTACGCTGCTTACGCCATTGCTTGCTCTGCACACAAAGTCCCCGCGCCGGAACTCCAAGTATCAGTTCTCCATGGGAATGGCGTGTGTGTGTACATACTTGTTCGCGCTATGTACATCCAGTAGAAAAAAGAAATAGCCGCGTAACATTGTAGCGTCGTATTAAATGCACACACACATACACACGTGGAGTGAGAGACGCGGGGAGAGAGAAAGAGACAGAGAGATAGATATACTTTTACATATACCTTCCGGGTGGAAACGTGCGTATGTGCGTCATACATGTGCTCATGGGCGTGTGTGTGCGTCTCCCAGTATAAGAACGTTCGACGGGGTACCGACCCAGCAGTCTTTGGCACGTGTTCGGAGACACTGGAGAACGACATCGAAGTCAGGAACAAACGATTTAACGCGACGCGCGCAATTTTTTTCTCTTTTTTTTTTTTTCATCTATCGCGAATCGAACGGTGAAAGTAAAGTGTGAGATATCTCGGTATCAGACAGACGAGCCATTGACAGGATGACTATAAAATCGACCGATTACGAAGTGCCATATCTGAGAAAAGCGGTATGCATTCGTTTTCTTATGAATAGTATTTTAGAAGAAGAAAAAAAATAGAACGAAATCACAAAGGATCCGGTTTTGTGAAATGGCAGTAACTTCCTTTTCGAGTGTTTTAGAAAGAGACAGATATATCACGCTTCAATTTAAACCGTGACAAAGGATCGTTATACTGTACAAGATAATGTTCTGAATGAGATCTCGCTCTTCGTGTGACAAATGCTCGATTCTTCCAACTTGACCCTCGGTGTCGAAAAATATATCCTATTATACTCGCACACATTGCATATTCATCGCTTCATTAATATACCGCACATCTTATCGGCATTATCGACATCTGCGTTTCAAAAAGAGCAACGATGTCATGCATTTCGAATGATCCTTTCAAGATCGTTATCAATGGGTATTTCTTTAGAAAAAAATGTTGCTAAGATACATTTCCATCTTTTTTCATAAATTTTAATATTCCATCTCGAACGAAAAACGTTTAATATATGAATTTAATGCGAATTTATATTTTATATGATTAATTATTCGCGAATTTGACAAATAATGCGTTATCTTACGTGCTAATACATTATATTTTTACGTTAATTATTAATGTGTTAATGTTTATTTTGCGTTTCTTTTTGTGTAAAATATTCTTATCATAATTTTAAAATAGAGATATAATTTTTTTGTCGCAGGGTCTCAATGGCCGATTAGCTTTCGCTATCGCGGCAGCCGCTCTCGGCTCATCGTTCCAGCATGGATACAATACTGGTGTGGTTAACGCGCCTCAACAGGTACGAATTTTCGCATCAATGTAATTGTAAGACACATTTTGCAATGCCTTACATTGATTATTTGTAATACCGGAGTCCAAATCTGTTACATTCACGTTTATTTCCGTAACATAGCGATAATATTTCGATATTTATTATTATATCAGAGTCACGGCGGAGTCGTAAAATAATATAATAATAAACTATTTGTAAATAGTTAACTATTTGTAAATAGTAGGCTGACGCCTGAAATAAAACTACAACGAGAATAAGAAACGAAAGATGATGAATAAATGTTCCAATGTTCTTATTCAGCTTATCGAGGATTGGATCAGCCAGTTGAAGATGAATCGCACGGGTGTGCCGCCAACTCAGTCAGAAGTGACATTAATATGGTCAGTGGCGGTATCGATATTCTGCGTCGGCGGGATGATCGGGGGTTCCCTGGTAGGCTGGGTGGCGGATCGCTTCGGTAGAAAGGGCGGTCTGCTGCTGAACAACATTCTAGTACTGCTCACCGTGATCTTCGAGGGTAGCGCCAAAGCGGCGAACAGCTATGAGATGATAATCTTTGGTAGATTCCTGATTGGTATAAATTCCGGACTGAACGCCGGTCTAGCGCCAATGTATTTGGCCGAGATCTCGCCCGTGCATTTACGCGGCGCCGTAGGCACGGTCTACCAGTTGGTCATCACCATTTCGATCCTAGTATCGCAGATTCTCGGCCTGGAACAAGTTCTCGGCACCACCGATCAATGGCCCTTACTGCTATGCTTGACGATAGTGCCAGCAATTTTCCAAATGTGCACGCTACCGCTTTGTCCTGAGAGCCCCAAGTACCTATTACTCAGTCGTGGCAAGGACATGGACGCGCAAAAAGGTAAACGGATGAATAAAAGATTATGAATAGTAAGAACGTGGAGGACACGGCCTATAAAATTATAGACGAATAAGAATAGCCGAGTCTTTTGTTCTGCTCTTTCTCACAAAAATCTTTTTCTCTTTCCAGCGCTGTCCTGGCTACGCGGAACAATCGAGGTTCATGACGAGATGGAGGAGATGCGTACAGAATACGAGTCTATGAAACTGATACCGAAAGTTACCGTGCGCGAACTGTTTGTGAATCCGGCGCTCCGCATTCCGCTTTTCATCTCCATTATGATTATGTTTGCTCAACAACTATCTGGCATCAATGCTGTCATGTTTTTCTCAACCAAAATCTTCACGATGGCACAGCTGGGCAAGACTGCCGCGCAGAACGCTACCATGGGAGTCGGCGCGATGAATGTCTTCATGACTATCATTTCTCTAGTGTTGGTAGAGAAGGCGGGTAGAAAAACATTGCTCCTGGTCGGATTCGCTGGCATGTTTTTGGACACTGCCCTGCTCGCCATTTGTCTCGAATTTGCTGTAAGTATTCTTTTCTCTGATAGGGATCACGGAAGTGATATAAATTAAAATGATGTTCGAAAAAGAAAGTTGAAATTACAATCAAGTTTATTTTCGCGCTTTTTTTAGAGCACATCGCACACAGCAGCATACTTCTCGATCGTACTCGTCATCATGTTTGTTGTCTTGTTCGCAACTGGACCGGGAAGCATTCCGTGGTTCTTGGTATCCGAGTTGTTCAATCAATCTGCCCGTCCATCCGCCACTTCCATTGCCATTGCCGTGAACTGGACCGCGAACTTCATCGTCAGTATCGGCTTCTTACCGCTGCAGGAGGCATTAGGCGCTTACGTGTTCATCATCTTTGCTGTGCTACAATTGTTCTTCACACTCTTTATATACAAGAAAGTGCCGGAGACGAAAAACAAGACCATGGAAGAAATCAGCAGCATGTTTAGGCAAATATCGTATCAATGAAGAGAATCATAAAAGAAAATGAGAAAAAAATGGTTTCTGAAAGAACGAAATCTGTATTGGCATGAAATCTGAACGACGAGTGCATTCTCTGTCTCCATCGAGGAACTCAGCGGCTCGGCGAAAGTGACACATAGTTTACTCTATCTATGGTTTATCAAAGCGCTTCCAACATTCTGTCTAACGCGCTGTATGAAAGTTCATCGGATTGGTATTCGATCGTTTGAACGCTTGTCGTACGTATAATCGCAACGCTCGTTACGTATCTAACGTTATTCATGTAGTGCCAATATTGGGAGAAATCCGAAAATTTTAACTTTTTTTTATTACTTAACTATTTCATTCTTTTTATTCTTAATTATTTGATTCGAAAATTTTGTTGTGCAAAAACGAAGTGAAATATTTCAAAGGTTGGATGGCGCGCGCGCACAAGTCCTTTTACAAAAGTGTGTGCCTGATTTATAAGTTATAAAGTTATAATCTTAGTTCCTATATATATATATATATATATATATATATATATATATATATATATATATATGTTGCATCCACAGCGAGGAAAAGTTATCGCAAAAATAAGGAACAATCCAAGAAATGGCGCAAGACCAACACAAAGAACGTGATTCGTTCGATAAGTCTTTTCGATCATTGATTTGTTTCTTATATCGGAAACAATGATATACGTCACGATACAAAGAATTACAACTCTAGTCACGAAAAGACCTCTAGATCGAGTATAATGTTGGAAGAACGTTATGTGCTGTCTGATTTTATCTTTATTGTCGAAAACGTCCGATTCATTTTCAGATATGTATCGCTTTGCTAGATGAATTTTTTTTATACGAAGAATAACACGAGATAATATATCATGTTTTAAAAGTATCATAATAATGAGTACAATTGGGATATTTTTATGGAATAACGATTTTATAATAGCGCGTGAGAAAAAGCTTGTGTTCCTACTATATAATTGCATCTCGCGTTACTATAGAAGAAATTGAAATAATCATTGTTGAAAAAAAGGAAGAATTAGTATCGATTCGCATTATACGACAATAGAACAATAACATGAATAAGACAAAATATAACTTCATAAATATAAATATGTTTATCTGATCGCATCTTTACAGAGACGCAATGCGAATAATTAAATTTATATATTATAAATATATAAATTTATTCATTCGCATTGCATCTCTGTAGAAATATTTTGTCGCACATTTTATCGTATAATGTAAATAGACCTTATTCGTGAGCAAAGGAGTATATTAACTGCTTTTATATGAAATAATTTATAATAGAAATTTGGAGAATATTTTACTACATAAACCGGAAGCGCAAGTTTTATTCGAATGAGAACGACAAAATGTGTTAAAATACTATTGTAAATACAAGAATGTAAAGAATAGCATAGAGAAAATAATATTATATTTATGTATATGCACGTAGAGTTGATTAACGTTTAAGAAAGAATATCAATGTTATCATATATATTTTTAAAATATTTAGATTAATTTCATATATATGTATAAGGAAAAAAATGTGCGATACGATACATATACTAAACGCAACTCAGGAACTGATTGTTATGTTATAAATTGCAGAGATGGTATTGTATTTTTTTGTTTCTATGTTGTGTCCACATCTTGAAGAATACTCATTTGTATAATAATCGATTTAGTATTAATATATTAAAATAATTTTTACTGAAAACGAAAGGAAGACTAAGTTGCTTATGATAATGCGCTCTAAATAAAAATCAATCTTCGATATTCATTTATCTTATTTATCTTATTTGAAATGTATTTATTATTATATATTCAAGGAGCAAAATTTATGAAGTTTATTATATGTATATTATCTAGCAATCTTTCCTAGAGACGAATACTATGTATTTGAAGTGTAATAATCGAACACGATTTGCTTGTCGCAAAACTGTAAATAATACCAACTTTTCATTTATCTTTAGCTAATTGATTGCTAATTATCGTATAAGTTTTTGCAACGCAGTTAGTATTTAGTTTTAGACGATTCTTTTATAAATAAATCTATCAATTCTTATAGAGGAGCGAGAGAGAGAGAAAAAAAAAGAAAGAAAGAGAGTGAGTGCTCCTGGTATCTGTGTTGATCGAAAAATGTAACGCTGTATATTGTAATCCATTATTTGTATATGTGAAATGATATTCGCTATATAAATATACATTTAATCAAAATTCGGAGTATATCTCTATTAATGTATCTGCCTATAAAATGTATCGTTAAGTGTTATGTTACACAAAATGTATTTGATGCGTTACAATTGATATTCGATGCCGATATTGTCTAATATAAATAAAAAGATTGAAATATTAAAAGCAAAACTACCCAATTCAATTTTACACAATAATCTTTATATGTTTATAATAAACATGAAGAATAATGATTAATTAGGAATTGCTATATTAAAATACTACTTTAAAACATATTACTTAAAAGAAAAGCAAAATATATATATATATATATATATATATATATATATATATGTGTGTGTGTGTGTATATCTTTTTACTCCCGACATTGCCAACCAAATGGTTGTTTATATAAATGCACATATAAAAAAAAATATATATATATATATATATATATATATATATATATATATATGGTTACGTTCCAAAACGCAAGTAACCCAAGAAAATTTTACTCGATGGCTGATTCGAACCAATCGGAAACGCTTAAAAGAGTTTCGGAACGGCTATTGAGTAAAATTTTCCTCGGAGAGTATGTTTTGGAACGTACCCTATATACATATATCATTTTTTATTATAATTTATCAACAATTTCCATTAAAATTTGATTTGCGAGTACATGTTTATTCAATGATAAGATAAGAGTTTCAAAAATGATATTTGATGCACATAAAAATCGTTCACACATAATAATTTTTTCCCTGTTTACCATCGACGGATTTGCTAATTTTCGCAACCCAATTATTTCGCGACCCAAAGAAAAGGACGATAAAGTGATCGACATTGCAAGTAAAATTACTCGTCAATTATTATCGCATTTTATATAACGTTTACAAGTGGTTGTAAACGTTAGTGACAGTCGACCCAGCGGTCTTTGTGACGTATTTGTAAACACTAAAGAACGACACCGAAGTCGGCGGGAACAAACGATCTAACACGACACACGCAATTTGTTTTTTCTTCTTTTTGTTTATGGCTTATCATAAATCGGACAGTGAGAGATCGGAAGAACCACCGACAAGAAAACGATCAAATCAATCGATTATGAAATGCCACATTTGAAAAGAGCGGTATGCGTTCATTTTCTTATAAATAGTATTTCAGAAGAAAAAAACATAACGAGACTACACATGATCCAATTTTATGAAATAGCAACAATTTCCCTTTTACATGCTCTAGAAAAAGAAATATATATCACCTTCCAGTTTAAAACGTGACAGATTGTTTGAACAAGATAATGTTATTCCGAATGACATTTCGCTACTCGACAGATGCTCGATTCTTCCAATTTGATTTTAATATCGAAAAATCCCTTCATCACTTGTAGACGTTGCATGTTTCTGGTTTATCACTTCGTTAATATACCGCACATCTTATTGGCATGATCGATATATATCTGTATTTCGAGAAAGGATAACAACGCCGCGCATTTCGAATGATTCTTTTGAAATCGCTATCAAAAGATATTTCTTCCCGAGAATGTTCCCAAAACACATTTGACATTCTATCTTGAAGAAAAAAGTTTGATGTATGAATTTAATGCGAATTTATGTTTTATTAAAATTATTTGAGAATTTGACGAATAATATCTTATTTGCTAATAATGGATACATTATATTGATATGCACGTTGATTAATAATATGTTAATGTTTCCTTTTTGTATTCGGTAAAATATTCTCGTATTATAATTTTAAAGTAGCGATAATTTTGTCAAAGGATTTTCTCAACGATTAGCGTTCATTATCGCGACGGCCGCTCTCGGCTCATCGTTCCAACATGGGTACAATTCCAGTGTGGTCGAGGGATTGGTCACTAAATTATAGTGTACAAAAATTACCCTTGACGGATTACCTTTAAATTTGACAGATTACATTTAAATTACCTCGGATTATTTAAGGAGCTACCTAGCTGTCCTTTCTAGAGATGAATACTATTTGAAGTTTATAATAATAGAACACAATTTAATCGTCGCAAAACTGTAAATAATACCAACTTTTCATTTATCTTTAGCTAATTGATTGTTAATTATCGTATAAGTTTTTACAACACAGTATTAGTATTTAGTTTTAGACGATTCTTTTATAAATAAATCTATCAATTCTTATAAAAAGAGAGAGAGAAAGAAAAAAAAGAAATAGAGTGAGTGCCCCTGGTATCTGTATTGATCGAAAAATGTAACGCTCTATAATGTAATCCATCATTATGTGAAATGGTACTCGCTCTATAAATATGATACATCTAATCAAAATTCAGAGGATATCTATATTTATGTATCTGCCTATGAAATGTATTGTTAAGTGTTACACAAAATGTTTACGATGCGTTACAATTGATATGATACTCGATGCCGATATAAATCTAATATAAATGGAAAGACTGGAATATTAAGAAAAAAACTACCCAATTCTATTACACGATAATATTTATACATCTGAACCTAAAGAATAGTGATTAGCTAGGCATTGCTATATTAAAATACAGCTTTATAATATATTACAAAAAAGGAAAAAATATATATTGTATATATGTATGTATATATATATATATATATATATACAGTGATGGGAAAAAGTTCCGGGACGGCTGGATAATTTGAAAAATACGCATCACAGAGGAAAATGACCTAGACAAAAGTTGTAGGATTTTTCCCGGGCAATCCGACGGTGACCTTAGATTTGACCTTGGATAGTCATTTGAAGGTCACATAAAGATTACCTTCAATTTCTTACATGGAACTCCCTATTTTTCATTGCATATTCTTGTAGCTTATCTCGAGAGCTTTCCAAAACACTATAATTAAGTACCTTTTCATTAAGTACTTTTTGAGTTATAAGGCTTGAAATAATTTCTTAATTTTACATAAACCATAAAATATCTAGTAAACCATTCATTTTTCGATTATCTTACCTTCATACTTTTATGTACAAAATAATGAGAGGAATCAATTGGTGTAAAGAAAACACATAGTTGTTTCTAAGAAAAAATATGTAATTTGCAATTAACAATTCCATATTTTTTCTTAGAAACAACTATGTGTTTTCTTTACACCAATTGATTCCTCTCATTATTTTGTACATAAAAGTATGAAGGTAAGATAATCGAAAAATGAATGGTTTACTAGATATTTTATGGTTTATGTAAAATTAAGAAATTATTTCAAGCCTTATAACTCAAAAAGTACTTAATGAAAAGGTACTTAATTATAGTGTTTTGGAAAGCTCTCGAGATAAGCTACAAGAATATGCAATGAAAAATAGGGAGTTCCATTTAAGAAATTGAAGGTAATCTTTATGAGACCTTCAAATGACTATCTAAGGTCAAATCTAAGGTCACCGTCGGATTGCCCGGGAAAAATCCTACAACTTTTGTCTAGGTCATTTTCCTCTGTGATGCGTATTTTTCAAATTATTTAGCCGTTCCGGAACTTTTTCCCATCACTGTATATATATAAATGTATGTATCTTTTATGAATGTATACATGTATCTTTTTTATATAATTTATCAACTATTTTCACTTGTTAAAATTTTATTTACAATTTTGCTTATTCCATGCCGATAACGAGCTTCAAAAAGGATATTTAAGGCCTCGTCGCGCATAATAATTTTCTCACTGATTACCATGAACAGATTAATTTTCATATTTATTTCGCGGCGTAAAGAAAAGAACAATAAAGCGATCGTCATTGCAATTAGAATTTCATGTCAATTATTATCATATCAGTACAGTACAGCACAAGTAGTTATAAACAAGTAGTTAGTGCGAGATCCAATAGTCTTTGCCACGTGTTTGGAAGCTGAAAAACGACACCGAAATCGGCGGAAGTAAATGTCGCATGTAATTTGTTTTTCCTTCTTTTCGTTTATGATAAATCAAACAGTGAGAGTAAAGTGAGATATCTCGGTATCGGAAGAACTATCCACAGGACAACGATAAAATTAATTATGAAATGCCACATCTGAGAAGAGCGGTACGCATCCGTTTTCTTATAAATAGTATTTCAGAATTAAAAAAAAACAGAACGAGACATGAGTCTTAATAATAATTTTTAGAATTCGTGAGGGGCTACCCAGAACTCTGAAAGCGTTGGAATTCCGAAAAAAATTTTTCACGTCTGGAGTCGAAAATAAATTTTTTTGAAAATTCGACGTTCTATTCAGAATTCCGGGTAGCCTCACGAGTTCTAACGATTATTATTAAGATTCGAAGCGCTAAAACCAAAATTGTACAAGTTTTCGCCAATTTTCATCTTCAAGGTTGAAAGCTTTAAATATAATTTTTGTAGTATTTTGAGCAGAACTATTTTTGAAACTTATCTAGGAATATAGAACTATTAGAAATCTATCCAGCATTTTAAAGAAATTTGCATTTTTCATATAATGGGAGGCGTGAAATTAGTCCTCCATTTTTTAATGGTGTTTTCTTTACTTCAAATAACGGAACTATTGACTATAATCTAATGGATTGAGAACTCCAAAACTCTACGGGACACCCAGAGCTCTAATAATTTTTTTCAAATTTAAAGAATAAGGGGCCAACTTCACAGAGTCTTAACAATGTCGCGCATTTCGAATGATCTTCTTGAAATATCAAAAAGATATTTCTATCAAAAGATATTTCTTCGAGAATGTTCTCAAAACAAATTTTCATTTATTTTACAAGAATTTTGACATCGTATCTCAAAGAAAAAACGTTTGATGTATCAATTTATTGTGAATTTATAATTTATATAATTATTTGTGAATTTGACGAATAATATATTATCTTAAGATAAAAATATTAGGAATGGGTGGCGCAGAATAATAAATATAAAAACAAATGCACAAAAAGGCAAGTAAGGCCATCGATGTTAGAGGTTGACGCAAAAAAAGGAAAATGAATTGTAAAAACGTGTTAAATTACAATCATGTTACTAATCACGAAATACATTAATTAACGCAAACGTTTCGATCCTCTCCGGATCCTTTTCAATGCATATAATAATAATATAGAATAATCCGTTATGTAACGCACGTGAAAGAACATGTAATAATAATATAAAATAATCCGTTAAGTAACGCACGTGAAAGTCATGTCAAGATCGTCAACTACACTTTTTGAAATATAAAAACAAATATGATCGTAGCGCAAACAGACAAAATTAATAAAGTCAAAATTTTGCACAAAGGAAGATAAAAACAACGGTACGACGCAAGCATCATAGCCGCCAAGGAACACGCAATAAAAAATGTTGTCGCAGAAAATAAAATTTTTTTCAAAAAACTCGCATAGGTTGCAAGTGCGCATCTCCACTCACCAATGTTGACCGTCATCGAGTTAAGCCAATCAAAAAACAAAAACGGCGCAAAAGATGTTGTTGTCCGTTATGCACAAGGAGCAGGCGATCAAATTGCCAAATAAAAATTAACTGTCTTCTAATAATCCGCAATGCGTGACAATTTTTGCTTCACAGGTAGAGTGCTTTTTCATCCAAAATGAATTAAAATATACAAAAATCGTAGAAATAAGAGCAGACAGGAACAGAGATAAGAAAAAAAAAACAAAAAATTAAATAATGACACACACGGCGATGTATAATTGGCGAAACGGTATAACATACCATATATTATCTTATTTGTTAATAATATATCTATATATATAAAAATGAATCTCTATTTCCCTTGGTCATCGCATCACACGTGAACGGAGGGAACAATTTCGCTAATTCTTTTTTTGTTGTGTTAATTATTGTCTGGAGAAGGTTCTTATTAAAGAAAAAATTTTGTAAGTTTAGCGGAACATTAGAAACTTTAGGAAAATTAAGGAAAATTTTTTTTTCCATTAATTATACCAATTCGAATTCAATATTTATAGTAAAGACAGGACAACGTCTGTCGGGTCAGCTAGTATATATATATATATATATATATATATATATATATATATATATATAATTAACAAATAAGATAATATATGGTATGTATATATATATTATATTGATATGCACGTTGATTGACAATATATTATGTTAACAATATATACAATGTTTCTTTTGTATACGGTAAAATATTCTCATACTACAATTTTAAAGCAGCGATATAATTTTATCGCAGAATTCTTTCAACGGTCGATTAGCGTTCGCTATCGCGGCAGCCGTTTTCGGCTCATCCTTCCAACATGGGTATAATTCCGGTGTAATTAACGAACCTCAACAGGTACGAATTTTCACATTCGTTGTAAGGCATTTTCTGCCACTTACGTTGATTTTATGTAATATCGGAGTCCGAAAGTCTGTTACATTTATACTCATTTTCTAATATAATGATAGTATTTTGATATTTATTATTGTATCAGAGTCCCGGCGGAATCGTAAAATGGTATAATAATAAAATATTCATAAAGCTCACGTCAGCAATAAAACTACAATGTCTAGAATAAGAAACGAAAGATGATAAATAAATGTTCCAATGTTCTTATTCAGCTTATCGAGGATTGGATCAGCCAGTTGAAGATGAATCGCACGGGTGTGCCGACAACTCAGTCAGAAGTGACATTAATATGGTCAGTGGCGGTATCGATATTCTGCGTCGGCGGGATGATCGGGGGTTCCCTGGTAGGCTGGGTGGCAGATCGCTTCGGTAGAAAGGGCGGTCTGCTGCTGAACAACATTCTAGTACTGCTCACCGTGATCTTCGAGGGTAGCGCCAAAGCGGCAAGCAGCTATGAGATGATAATCTTTGGCAGATTCCTGATCGGTATAAATTCCGGACTGAACGCCGGTCTAGCGCCAATGTATTTGGCCGAGATCTCGCCCGTGCATTTACGCGGCGCCGTAGGCACGGTCTACCACTTGGTCCTCGCCAGCGCGACCGTAGTATCGCAGATTCTCGGCTTGGAACAAGTTCTCGGCACCACCGATCAATGGCCCTTACTGCTATGCTTGACGATAGTGCCAGCAATTTTCCAAATGTGCACGCTACCGTTTTGTCCTGAGAGCCCCAAGTACCTATTACTCAATCGTGACAAGGACATGGACGCGCAAAAAGGTAAACGGATGAATAAAAGATTATGAATAGTAAGAACGTGGAGGACACGGCCTATAAAAGTATAGACGAATAAGAATAGCCGAGTCTTTTGTTCTGCTCTTTCTCACAAAGATCTTTTTCTCTTTTCAGCACTGTGCTGGCTACGCGGAACAATCGAGGTTTATGACGAGATGGAGGAGATGCGTACAGAATACGAGTCTATGAAATTGATACCGAAAGTTACCGTGCGCGAACTGTTTATGAATCCGGCGCTCCGCATTCCGCTTTTCATCTCCATTATGATTATGTTTGCTCAACAACTATCTGGCATCAATGCTGTCATATTTTTCTCAACCAAAATCTTCACGATGGCACAGCTGAATATGACTGTGGCACAGACCGCCACCGTAGGAGTCACTATAATAGGAACCTTGACGGTCATTATCTCTACAGTGTTGATAGAGAAGGCGGGTAGAAAAACATTGCTCCTGGTTGGATTTGCTGGCATGTTTTTAGACACTGCTCTGCTCACCATTTGTCTTGTATTCGCTGTAAGTTTTTGTCTCTGATTGGGATCACAGAAGAAAATTAAGATGATGTTCGAAAAAGAAATTACAATCAAGTTTACTTTCGTGCTTCTTTTTTAGGAAACATCGCAAACGGCAGCATACTTCTCGATCGTACTCGTCGTCATGTTTCTTGTCTTCTTTGGAACTGGACCGGGAAGCATTCCGTGGTTCTTGGTATCCGAGTTGTTCAATCAATCTGCCCGTCCATCCGCCACTTCCATTGCCGTTGTCGTCAACTGGATCATGAACTTTATCGTCGGGATCGGTTTTTTACCGCTGCACGAGGCATTAGGCGCTTACGTGTTCATCATTTTCGCTGTGCTACAATTGTTCTTCGCGCTCTTCATATACAAGAAAGTACCGGAGACAAAGAACAAGACTATAGAAGAAATCAGCAACATGTTTAAACAAATGTCATGCCAATGAAGAGAATCGTAAAATAAAAGGAGAAAAAACATCCGACTCTCATTTTCATGCAGATATGCATCGCTTTGCTAGATGAATTTTTTAAAGAAGAATAACACGAAATAATATATGTTTTAAAAATTATCATAATAACGAGTACAATTGGAATAATGATTTTATAATAGCCCGCGAGAAAAAGCTTGTTTTCCTACTATTGAATAATTGCATCTTAATATAGAAGTTAGTATAGAAGAAATTGAAATAATCATTGTTAAAGAAAAGGAAGAATTATCATTGATTCGACAATGAAATAATAACAATGGATATGTAATAAAATATAATTTCATAAATATATAAAATGTTTATCTGATCTCATCTTTATAGAGATGTAATGCGAATAAATAGATTTATATATTATAGAAGAATATTTTATCATATAAAGTAAATAGATTTTTATTCGTAAATAGAATATATTAACTGCTTTTATATGGAATAATTTATAATGGAAATTGGAGAATATTTTACTGCGTAAACCCGAAGTGCAAGTTATATTCCAACGAGAACGACAAAATGTTAAGATACTATTGTAAATACAGGAAGATTAAGTAAAGATTAGTATTGTATAGAGAAAATAATATTATATTCCTACCCCCAACCAAAATATTGCAGCTACATTGCTGCAACATTGCTGCAATGTTGTAATATTGCCGCAATATTGCTGCAATATTCTGTGTTTTCTGGGATTTATATATATGCACATATGAAAAAGACGTCAGAATATGATACATTTTACGACGTCAAAATGCGGTACATCTCATGACGTCAGGAATCTGTGACATTAGACATTTGATTTAGTATTAATGTATTAAAATAATTTTTACTGTAAAGCGAAAGAAAAAATTAAGTTGCTTATAATAATACGTTCTAAATAAAAATCATTCTTCGATATATTCATTTATCTTACCCAAAATGTATTATATATTCAAGAAGCTAAATTTTTAAAATTAACTGTATATACATACATTATCTGGCAGTCTTTTTTAGAGAGGAATAATGTGTATTTGAATTGTAATGATCAGACGCGATTTGCTTATTGCAAAACTGTAAATAATAAAAATTTCTCATTTATATTTAACAAATTGATTCCTAATTATAAGTTTTTGCAATGTAGTTGTTAACATTTAGTTTTAGATGATTCTTTTATAAATGAACGTATCAATTCTTATAGAAAGAGAAAGAGAGAGAAAGAAAGAAAAAGAAAGAGAATGAGCCCCTGATATCTGTATTGATTTAAAAATGTAACGCTGTATATAGTATAATCCTTCATTTGTATGTAAAATTGTATTTGCTAAGAGATTGATTGTCGAAAAGATAACTTAAAAAAGACATCTTTTTGTTATCTTTTATTATAAGGTGCTGTGTGGGATATATATTTTGACCCGAAAGTTAAAATGGGACACCCTGTATATATGTATCTTTTTTATATAATTTATCAATAATTTCCATTTATTAAAAATTGATTTGCAAGTATATATTCATTTAATGCTGATAAGGAGCTTCAAAAATCTGATGGAATAAAAATCTAGTCGCTCGCTCATAACAATTTTCTCGCAGTTTACCATCGGCAGATTAAATTTAATCGCGATTATTTTGGGGCGCGAAGACTGATATCGCAAAATAATAGTCACAGTTTTTTTTCCAATACATTTATTTTATAAAAAACATTATTATAACAAGAAAATGTAATACAAATTCTCCAAATTTGTCGAAACTATGCACAAATAGATGGCGGCCTCTGACGGGAAAAGATCGACTGCGAGACGGAGAGTGGCGCGTCGTGCGTCGTCTCGTTGGAGTAAACACGAAGTGGAGGCGCCGCGCTCGCACACCTCGTGTGTGCTCCTGGCACTCGCGTTCGTCCGTAACGTCGTATCTTTCCCTGTCAGTGAGCGGAAGGGGAAGCAAGGGAGTCGGTTTTCCGCGACAGGAGCCACGCGTCGATTCGTATCGCGTCGTTCGAGAGGTGACGGACGAGGCAGGTGACGCGACGACGGCGGTGTTCGCGTTCCTGTTATCGCCGCGTACCGCAAGCGCACCCAAGAGACGAATTAATGTGCGCGGGGCGGACGCGTGGTACCCTCGTGGCGGTCGCAAATGCGCGTGGTAGCCGCCGCGGCGACGGCGACGCCATCGCCGCGCCCGCGTCCGCGTCCGCGTCAGGAAGATGTCAAACGTCGGCTCGCCGTTCGAGCGACTCGTGAACGGTGAGAACAGCGTGGACGCTGACGCCGCCGCCGCCGTCACCGTCACCGGCGCTGTCAGCGGCGGCAGGGGCGGAAGGAGGAGTGGAGGGGAGGAGGGCCGCGTGAGCGGTGGTGCGAGTGTGTTCGTCTCGAGGAGCCGCGGTGGTTACAGCGACGTCAGTGGTGTTGGTAACAGTGGTGCGGCCGCGATCGTCGCGACCGCTCTTATCGACGGCGCCGTCGTGACGTTGCCCGACGCCCGCGGCACGACGCCAGTCAATTCCAGTCGCGAGGCAACGATATCGCGCACCCGCGACGACGGTTATCGTTGCTATACCTATCTTGTCGCCGACGCGTCCCTGTCCTCGGCGACGACGCGCACGTCCAACGACGGTGATGACGTCGTCGCGACGACGGGCCGCCGTGGATTCGCCCTGAGCAGCGTCGAGACGACGACGACAACGACGACGACGACGACGACGCCGCTGCTGCTTCGTGCCGGTAGCACCGACGCGAGAGTAGTCAGTTTCGGCAACAGCAACAGCAGCGCCACAAACACCGCCGCCGTCGTTATTGTTGACGCCGCGCCGCCGTTGTTTCACGAGGACGACGAGGACGACGACGACGACGGCGACGACAACGACGGCGACGACGACGACGACGGCGAGGACGGTGACGGCGACGACGACGACGACGACGACGACGACGACGAGGAGGAAGAGGATCATTTCCACTATCACGATCGCGGCAACATGGTCGCGGCGATGAACGAGCACCTGTCAAGCGCGACGACGACGACGACGTCGTCATCGCCGGCGGCGGCGAACGCCGTTCGCAATACCGTCGCGATGTCGTCGTCGTCCTCCTCCTCGGCGTCGTCGGCTATGATGACGGCGAGCAGCACGATCGCCAGCGGCAACAGTAATCATCCCCCGACGATGATGATGAGCAACGTCGGGCTCGGCGCCAATAACGGCAATAGCTGCAACAACGCGCGCGGCCAGGGGTTCCAGGAGATGGACGGCGACGACGTGAAACCCGTCATCAACAGCGGCAGCGCTGCGGCTGCCGCCGCCGCCGGCATCCTCAGCTTCCCTTGCGACTTCGATCACATGTACGCCAGCATGACCGATGGCGGGGCTCCGGCCGCGGCCGCGGCCCTCGGCGTCAGCCCCCTCCGCGGCAACGAGCCCCGTCAGAACGACCTAACCGAGGTCAAGCACCTGAAGGAGCTCCTGCTCCTGCATCTCGATCTCATCCAGCAGCAGTCCGAGCAGATAGTCACCAAGGACAAGCTCCTCGCCGCGCTGCGCCAGGAAAACGAGACGGTACATAACACGTGGGAGATGTTTTCATTTTTTTTTTCCAATGTGTTTTCGTTGTGTTTAATATTCGCTTCTGCCTCCCTCGAGAAATCGGTGAATCGAAGATGATGAATCGGTGAAAGTTGGAAATTGAATCGCTCGCGAAGGAGGCGGGGAGTTTCATCTCGATGATGATTTCAAATGGCATTTTCGTATTTTGTATGTATGTGTTCTCTTTTTACTCGTATACACATCGTGCTTTTCAGGATGAATCAGTCACATGGTTGTGATGACATTTGATGATATATATATATATATATATATATATATATATATATATATATATATATAAGTAGGGATAGAGAGATGTTTAATGTTTGGCGATTTAAATTTTTATACTCGTAGAATGAAACTAGATTCTTTTAAATTTGTCCCCCAATATCGTTTATCATAATTTAAAAAACAAACAAACGAAAACTCGTTTTAAGGCAAGTAATCGTCGTTCTAAAATAAGTCACTGTATATTCTGGCGATCGAGATATGCGGTAAAACAAGGTGAAGTGAATAGCAGTGAGTCATTGAGCGATTTTTTTCAATTCAGAACCCGATTCGTGTCCTCCAATCCCATTCGCTCGTTCGATTTTCGTGCGAGCGCCACAATAATTGCATCGTGTGTACTTTAAAGAGATCTTGGACGCACGTGAAATTTCGCGTCAAAAATATTGCGTGAAATAAAACGCTCCAATTTGCAAAATTCTTTATCTCTTCTCACCTGTTATCTTGCGTTTGTAAAAATTATATTAATTTCTTGACGCGTAGAACGATGTAATTTCCAAATGTATAGTAATTTAACTAGAGGTGGAATTTAATCAATCTTTTTAAAGTGCACATCACGCTCGTATCTCGCCGTCACTTTATTTCAAAATATTCACAATTTCGAGCAAACTCCTACTACACGTAAATCGACAGAAAGAGAGACAGAGAGAAAAGATTTACGGTGAAAAGCCATAAACGTCACATGTGAATCGAGTCTCCGATCTGGCTCTTCGACTCGTCTTCGCCGCCGATATCGATCGTAACAAGAACACCTCGAGCGCGCCGCCTCGACGTGAGAGAAACCAGCCCGCCGTCAATCTCGCCCCCACCCTTTTTTTTCGCCGGCGCGATTCGTTTCTCCGACACTATTCCGTAAAAACGTGCCGCGCACGGCTCGCGAGTGTCAATCTCTCTTCCTCGGCCATCCTAACCTAAACCCAAACACGAAGCGCGCGCGCGAAACAGGTTGACCGTGAAGGTCAACTGCGCGGTGTCAACACGTGGTGGCGCTACTTCCGCGTTGGAGTCGCACGGCGAGTGAAGGAGAGGTGGAGACGTTTCGTTCGCGGGCAACGACGTTTCTTCTCGACGGTGCCGAGACATGTTTGAAAATGACAGTTAGATAATTGGGAAGGACAGACGTAATTACGCCCCGACGAGTGATAATATGCTCGAATACCGATGCGTGGATCGGCCTCGCTTCTCAAGATCGAACCTGGTAGGGTAGGGTTTCGAGTTTCATTGACGGCGCGAATGACAGAGCGCGGGTACGTCGAACTAACCTATCTGCCCCTATTGCGAGGGAAAGAGAGTAACGAGCCCGAGAGATACATTCGCGAGGCGATTCAACATGATTTGCGAGGAGAGGAAATTCGTGTACAGACGGTACACGAGAAGTGTAAATAGCACTTAAATATCTCTATATGTAAATACGTTTAAGTATCATGACAATCAGGAGCATCGTTTTAATTATTTGTTGCAGCTAAAGCTACGTTTGGAGCGTATGGAGAGGCGGGTGAGTCTTCAAAAACTGAGATCTGAATGTGGCGAAAATTTGACTGGTTCCGAACACCTGGGGACGTGTTCGCCTACTAGTGTCAATTCGATAAACGTACCATCGACGAGCGAGCTGCACAGAAACGTTCAATGCGAGAGTGGCAATACTTTGCACGAGAGCTTTAAGATACGTTTGAACACTAGCGGCGGTATTACCACTGTGAAGCAAGAACCACTCGATAATCAAATTAAGCTTGAAGTGAAGCAAGAACCTAACGAGTCTAGGTTTGAGTGGGAGGAGAAGAAGAAGAGACGATCCGATCCAACTCCAGTGTCTACAGGTAGTAAAAAGAAAAGGGGACTCTCCTGCTCGTCGACAGTTAGTACTGACGGCGTACAGGATAAGGTGTTAGGTCAGACTTTACACGAGATTGGTAGAAAGAACGATAGGAAAGCGAAATCCCTCGTGAAGAAAGAGTCCTTTCTCACGACGGAAGAGCATTATTATACAGCTGTAGGGGATCCAAATTATACGTTAAGTCTAAAACAGTCCAGTCCGGTAGATACAGGTAATTCTCTCGAAATTCCAAATTGGAGAGTAAAAGTATACACGAGTTGCTACACAATGGAGGGAACTGAGAACTTGGACGATGAGATTTTTAACAAGAGACATTTGAAATTGGAGAATGACGAAAGGAGAAGGAAGCGATGGGATGTGCAGAGGATAAGGTTTGTAAATGTTTACTCGATGTATATCATCTTTATGAAATATCTCTGTGGAAATTTGATTTATATCTTAATTTTATCCCACGCACACACAGGGAACAAAGACATATAGAAAAATTAAAACAAAGGCAAGAACGTCAAAATCATCAAGCTACGTGTTATAATACTAATCATACTGGTCCGTGTCCCTCGTCCATGGAAGAGGAAACTGTTACGTCCTTGTGGCCTGATGTAGAACAAATTCAAAGTCTCCAAGTAGATTCTCATTTGCCAGTAACTGCATTTGGCTCCCCTATTCCTAGTTTTACTCCAAAGTAAGAAAATGAGCTTCTTAAATACATTTTGCAAGTATATTTTTCTATATTTAAGTTATGTATATTTAGTAATAATTGATATAATTATCAATTTTTTTTCAGTGAATTTTCTTTACCTTGGTCGAATACAGCACGAATAAAGTGTCGACGTCCTAAACGTTCAACAAGTAGAAGAAAATCTACAGGTAGGAGAAAAGTTTAGGGACTATAAATTTTTATAAAAATGGACAGAACTGATTTTATCTATTGGTTTTAAACTCTTGAAGAATATTATTGCTCCCTCTCTTACGCCATATTTGAAACAAATTGTTTCTCGTTGCAGATAATGTAGGAGCCTTCTTTCCTCCCCTCCTCCCCCTCCCTCTCCCTTTGTCCCAAAGATATTTTTATTGACTTTTTAAACATCTCTGCAATATAATATACATAGTTTATTTTTTCTACATTTTTGTCGATTAAGTAAATTCATTGTCAATTCTTCTTTGATACATCTATTCTACATTTTGTACTTGGTGTTGGTCGTTTTATTTATATAACTATGAATTTATGTATATCACACATGACGAAACGATGTATCAGTTTGTACTGACATATCGAAAAATCTTCAACTCTAAACCAGACTTCTGTTTCATTTCATTGAGTTGACAATATGATATTACCAAAATTTTTTGACATATATGTAAAACAATTTATATTTTGTAATTAATTTTTTCTTTGCTATTATAATTGTAAAAATCTTAACAAAACTACCATGTACACATTAATGACATATACTTTGTAAAAATATGTAAGGCAATGTTACATAACGGAAGAATATAATCAGTTTTTAAATCTTGGATAGTCTTTTTTTTTTGACGTTTTGCAAATTCTATATAGTTTCGCTTAATATCGAAAAATATTAAATACTCGTAAAAAATTAGATATCCTTGCAAACAGATCGCGATTTCGTTAATTCTAAAACTTTACAGTACAAATATATTTATTGCACAGAGTGTCTCAGAAAATGCGCGCTTCCTCTCACTGACAGATTCTCCAACATTTAATGTCTTCAGGAAATTTGAAGGCCTAATTACAGAAATAATATTTAACTTTCATGGACTTTTCATTGAAGAAAGATTTATATTGAAAAAATCTGTAACTAAAAGAAATTGGACCATTTTTGATATAATTTATATATTATGTATTTTTTTTTACCGAGTTTTAAGCCGTTATAAACGATCTAATAGCATATGCGATTTTTGCTCCTACACATGTTGAACGTTATATCGTGATCCGTAGGCGAGGAGAAGCTTTGGATATTTGTAAACAATAAAGTCATTAATATCGTGACTAACACTCAGTTTTAGCGACTTGAAGCTCTTTTACGCGTTTTATAGCACAATCAATTAAGCTTAAAATTAAATATACTTTGTGCAAATTATATTTAATAAATATGTATTTCTCTCCAGAGAAAGAGTTATAAATCCGTTCATGGTATATAAATTATCATCGGATATTAATATTTTATAATCCTGTAGAAAGTATAATTTTATAGCTGTGTCCCAATTAACTTCAATATTGCGAAAACTATCGAATGTTTTGACAATAGCACCTTATCCGAGAAACGATTATGATAGATTTGTGATAATTCCGATTTCATTTGTGTTACATAGAAAAACTGTGGTATTATGAATATAAGGAATCGCAAATGAGATAATTCGAGCAGATGACAACATTATTTTCGCATATACATATTTTCATCTGCTATATAATTTTAAGACATGATCTATCCTAAATGAATGAAAAAAGAAAATTGTATATATCTTCAGTAATAGTTTTTTTACGTTTTATTTTTTAAGGTATATATATATTTTCTATAATATATATACCTTTATATATATATATAAATATATAATGTAAGATATAGTGAGTGTGTATTAACCGTCCGTGAAGACTATTAAAATTTCATGAATACAAGACAGCATGCATTATATACTGTCAATACTACGAATGTAATTATCGGTACCTTGTAAATGACAATTTTTAGCTATAATATCGATTGAGTTCTTAGTACATGTTCTATAAATACGTGCGACAATTCTATAAGAAGATATATAAATTATTATTTTCCAATATACATACATCAAAAAAGAAGGAATTTTATTGTCTCGGCAGATGAATATATCAAAAATTGTACGGAAATTTCCAAGAGGGAGAAAATAAACTTTCTCCAATATCATCTGCCTTAAACGTCCTGCTATGTAATATATCGAATATAATTTTAGAAATAAAAAAAAGACATTAAATTCTCTATGGCTCTGTTCGATCTGTTCAAATTCCCGAATCCAGAAAAAGAATGAAAAATTAATTTTTAAAATAATTTTTAAAATACGCAAACTTTCCAACATCAGATCGGACGTAGAATTTCATTATTACACTTGATTCGATACTTCAAGAGTAAGAAATTATTCGTCAGATAGAAGAAGTTATGTGTCTTGGCGAAGATTAAAAAAAATTGTTTTTCAAGAAACGCGTATGATGCTGTTTCTCGAAAAGTATGTAAAAGAAGTCACTATACTCAGGAAATGTAATAAATTAATAGATCAAGAGATGTAAAAGTTGATTTTCTCTCTCTCTCTTTCTGTCAATTATCCTGCATATGGTCCACTAAAGATTAACATCGATCAAAAAGCGTTTGAGGGTGAGATGGCATTGCGTAAAGCATCAAGATCTTTAAAAACACTTTCTATGTACGATGAACGGTCCCAGCTCGTCGTACTCCTGTCTGGAGATCCACATCTGCTGGAACGTGCTAAGGCTAGCGAGGATCGAGCCGCCGATCCAGACCGAGTACTTTCTTTCAGGTGGCGCGATCACTTTGATCTTCATAGTGGGAGGTGCGAGCGTCGTTATCTCCTTTTGCATCCGATCGGCGATACCTGGATACATCGTGGTGCCGCCCGAAAGCACCGAATTGGCGTATAGATCTTTGCGAATGTCAACGTCGCACTTCATGATCGAGTTGTACGTCGTTTCATGTATGCCGCAGGACTCCATGCCCAGGAAGCTCGGCTGGAACATCGCTTCCGGGCAACGGAAGCGTTCGTTACCAATCGTGATGACCTGGAATCAAACCATTACCCGTTATATGTCTTCGTCCACTGACCGCGCTAGCCAGGCAATCCATGACGAATTAACGTTCACCGGGCGCGATTAATGCTAATGAACGCACCGTCTCCTCCATTATCGTTGCTCATTACGCTTAGACGTCATTTGCAATTTACGCTTATCTAGAAAAATTGTGTCTCGCAATTTTCACATTGTTACATTTTTTAAAAACACAAATATTAAAAAGGATATTCTAATGCAATGTATCTTTGATTATATCGACAAAGAAGGTTCGTATTTTTAATTCTCACTTATAATTCTCGAAGGCATGATTACAAGGAAGCGGGCTTAAATGATGCAAATGCTGTATTCATGAATGCCACACGTTACCTGACCATCCGGTAATTCGTAGCTCTTCTCTAGCGCAGTCGACGCAGCGGCCGTTGCCATTTCGTGCTGAAAGTCCAAGGCTACATAACACAGCTTCTCCTTAATATCGCGCACAATCTCGCGCTCGGCGGTGGTCGTGAAAGTGTAGCCTCTCTCGGTCAGAATTTTCATCAAGTAATCTGTGAGGTCGCGACCGGCCAGATCCAGGCGCAAAATCGCGTGCGGTAAGGCATATCCTGAAGAAAAAAAAACATTAAAACATCAAGCATTATAGAATTGAGACTGATTCATTTCTTCTTTTCAGATCGAGCGGCGGTAGCGAACAAGGCTGCGATAAGAGAGCAAGCAGAAGAGAAGTACCTTCGTAAATCGGTACCGTGTGAGACACCCCATCGCCGCTATCTAACACGATACCGGTCGTGCGTCCTGATGCGTACAGCGACAAGACAGCCTGGATGGCGACGTACATGGCCGGGGTGTTGAAGGTCTCAAACATGATCTGTGTCATTTTCTCACGATTCGCTTTAGGATTCAAGGGTGCCTCTGTCAGCAAGACGGGATGCTCCTCCGGCGCGACTCTCAGCTCGTTGTAGAACGTATGATGCCAAATCTTCTCCATGTCATCCCAATTAGTGACGATACCATGCTCTATTGGGTACTTGACAGTGAGGACGCCCCGTTTACTTTGCGCCTCGTCTCCCACGTAACTGTCCTTTTGTCCCATACCCACCATGATTCCCTATATAAACATGTCCTTACGATTAGAATGAGAATCAATTATAAGATACGATCATGCAAACTTGATGTATAACTTGATCTATTTCTTTAGTTTTTTTCTTCACCTGATATCGAGGTCTTCCAACGATAGAAGGAAACACGGCTCGAGGAGCATCGTCCCCGGCGAATCCGGCTTTACACATTCCCGAGCCATTGTCGATCACCAGTGCAGCTACGTCGTCGTCGCACATTTTAGAATATATGTAAAAATAATTTCTCACAGTTTTCTTGATTTAGCGAGATTTATAACGGATTGCGCTTGTGGCGGAAATGTAAGCTAAGGACTCAATCGAAGAAGACTAGATGTTATAATGTCCTCGCGTGACATTGGCTTTCGGAGCATTGCGCTTCCTCCTAGAAAGAAGAGTTGCTTTATATATAAGCTCCCCTCCTTTCCCGCCATAGATCCGCAACCACGCATATCCGTGTTTTTGTACGAAGACCTCGGAAATGATGTATCCAAATCGGCTTAACATTTAATACAGGTTTCTCTCATAATAACTGCAGAGAGAAATACTTTCGCTTATACAAATTACATAAAGAAGATGTGCAAATTGACTTTGATCTTTTAGTAAAACCTGTTTATAAATTTGCGAATTACATTTGATGAATACATTTTAACAATGAGAATACAATCAGATCAATATAATGTAGAGAAAAAGATTTAATGAAGAGAGTCCAGCCTTTTACATTAAATATAACATGCGCATGAATTGTGAATAAGGATACTCGTTTAAGAAGGCAGGTGTTTGAAGATAAAGGAATCAAAATTTCATATTTTTAAAAAGAGAACTAGATATTTTTCTAGACGTTTTAAGCTATATAAAATTTTTTGGATGTTTAAATTTCTCTAAAGAAGATGTTGAATAATGTCAAAATCCTTAAGACTTTCCTGCGAATTTTTTTTTCAACTCTTTTTAATGTCTTTCTTGAAAATTATCGATCCTATTGTTATCATTTTTTAATTTGTTTAAAAATAAATAAATTGTAGATTTGTAATCGTTCGATTTAAAGTCGTTAACAAAATTGACTTTATTCAATTCGTAATTAAATCGTAAAAAAAAGCTTATTTAGTAAAAACATCGATCAAAATGTAGAAAATGAAAAAGAAAGCGAAAACAAAAATTATCCTGCTAACGCCAATGTTGTGTGAGAAAGAGAAACATGAAGATAGTTTTGCCATGTAATTTTGCACCCGCCCTCTTAAAAATGTATTTCGCTCTTAGAAGTTTATAATACAATAGAATACATAATATTACAATCGTGTTTGGTCGCCATTAGATATTACAGAGAGTATTCCTGTATACATACATCACATGCACACATATATTACATTTTCGAGAATATAATATTTGCAATCTTTAATAATTTTAATAATTTTTAATAATTTTAAATGAGTTAATTTCTTTTTAATGTATGCCAATTATAGCTGGCAGTTACCGCTTGTAATCTCCATGCATAAAGTAGTCATCGCAGTAATTGGAGCATACGCTTCTCTACCTGCAATCGCATTGCATCTGCAAATCTACATAGTAGATTGCCATCTTTTCAGATATTACGCGCGAAGAATGTAATTTCGTTTGTGCTAAGGTTTCTCAAGCGAATGAATTCTATTGAAAGATAAGGAAATATATTCATTGAAATTTAAGAACTATCTGTAAATTGCAGCTAAATCGAGTCAACGGGACAACGCAATTGTAGAATCATTACTTCGTTCAATGATTCCATTCCATATAAGTCACAGAGTTATCGAGTGACAAAATTGAACAAAAAATGAAAGAAGAAACGCGCAAAAGCTCATAAAGTTAATAGGCTAAAATATCTTAATTGTTTTAAACTGTGCCATCCTACAACTGTGTGCACTTTTCTAAAAATAGGTAATCGAAGTACTGTTTTATGAAACATATATTCAAGAAATTTTAAAAGAACTTACATTATTTTTTAAAGAACTTGCATTATTTTTTGAAAAGAGTATAGTGATAACTATTCTGACTCTCCAAATTTTACAATTTTAATAAAAATATTTCTGTCATGATGTATCATAATAGAACCATTATAATTAAATTACAGTAAAATATAATCGGATTATTTTTTTAAATCGTGCGATACAAATATCCCCGCAGTTACTGTTGCACTGCATATGAATCACTTTGCAAATATATAACAGACAAGCGCTATTCCTTTTAAGAATACTTAATATACAAACCGACGCGCATTACAAAGAATCGCTGTTCCGTAGACTGACCGCCTACCAGAGCGATTCTTATAATCGCCGTATTACGCTTCTTAATTAACTGTTCGACTAATGATATTAATTAGGCTGTGAAATTAAGTACCCACTTTGATTGGAAATTTTTGCCTAGACCATTTTTGTATAAACTTTTAACAACATAATGCTACATAGTGTGCAATAATAAAAAAGCCATATGCAAATAATTTTTGCGTATGATCGATACTATATAAAATATATGATTAATGTCAAAGACAAGCGATATCCTTTGCTTTACAATTTTATATATATATTTATATTCGCGCGTGCCCACACATACGTACACATGCATACGCACAAATTTGAATTGATGCACAAAAAGTACATACGAGAGATAATAGTATGAAGAAATCAATTGAAAAAAATTACAATATGAAATGTACATAATTTATAATTATTATGTAAATCATAATTATTTATTTGTAAATCATAATTATTTATATTGTAAATTGTTTATAATACTAATTATTATAATTATTTATAATAATAATTTAATGCAAAACACAATTTTCAAAAACTATTTAGGAAAGGTATTTCTTTTAAATAATATTTAAATTTTCATGTAATTTAATGAAAAAGAAAAAATGAAAATTTTTGGCATTTTTTTTTTTTTTTCAGTTTGACGCGCACTGACTCACACACAAAAGAATATATCTCTATTTAATTTTATTTTAATACAAATATACCACACAAGAAGAAGTGTGAATTTTATGTGAACTTTTTTATAAAGCAAGTAAACTTTGTAGTAAGAATAAGTTAAGAAGTTTCAACTATCAACATATTATCGTTATATATATATATATATATATATATATATCACAACAATATTAAAAGTTTTACTTATCCCAGAGACCAACTTCTTTCATACGCGTTTGAAAGTACTTCTCTAAGGCATTGGCACATCGGTAATATTCAGTGTCGGGACTATTGTACAATCTGCAATTAGTGAAGATCCGTAACATGTCCGCTATAAATAATTTTTTAATTACATAGTATCCCGCTTTCAAACGATCTTGCATGGTTTTGAGATCTATAACAAAAATAAATTTACTTTTATCTCTCTGTGCATTTGTTATAGAACCTTACATGATTGATTTTTCTTCGCAATTATATATTCAACAAGGCAATATATAAAATTCTAAATCAATTAAATGTACAAAAATTTTTTTTTGAGCTCACCCATGGGATATATTATATGATCGTAATAATCTGGAACATCGTTTTTATCTACGGGTTTCAAAAAAGGCCACGCTGTACTGTGCTTCTTTACACTGTTCAACACACTATCTAATGTGTTATATAGAGAATCTGACATATCCAAGTTTGTATCTATCGATTCCGGACCTTGCGATCCTTTCGTCACACCTCTCGTTCGTGTTTGAGCGGAACTTTTCCATCCAGTTTCATAAATTCCCGGGATGGACTCGATGGGAATTGCTCTTACGCCCTCTTTAAAACATGTCAAACCCGGATGCGCTTTCTGTATTTCTTGTTGTCTCTGCTGAATTAATTTCTTTAAAATTTCTTTCTGCTTTCTAATAACTGCCGTAAATTCAGTATACACTATCTTCGGGTTTAGTTCACAATGCATTAATGTTGCTTTCACGTAATATTTAATGTATCCCTGGTGTACCGATTTCGGTAGTTTTATATCTTTGCTAAATCCCTGTTTCTTAAAATATCCAATAGCGAAATCGTCTGCAAATGTAAGAAAATGCAATATGTTGTTCTTGATATGATAATCTTTCAACATATTCATCAAATGCGTCCCATATCCTTTTACTTGTTCATGACTCGTGACAGCACAAAACACTATTTCGGTGAAACCTTGACTTGGGAACATACAGAAACAAATACCGCCAATTGGTCGACCATCCTTTATCAAGGCTAGTGTTTTGTGCTTTCTATAAAATAAAAGATACATTTGATTACTGCAAATATGACTATAAATTTCTTTATTATATATTTATTATATACACTAACATTAGATTTTTTTTAAATATTTATTTAATACTCACGGATCAAAAACAAGCTGAGTAATATATTCTTTGAACGTTTCAGGTAATTGATGACTAAATACATCTTGTAATCCTATCAGCCAGAGCATAGTTTGCTTAGATACTGGTCGTGTAAGGCTATTTCCAATTACATGAAATTCTATTATCTTTTTACTTTCTTCATTTTTAGCAGTTTCGTCTCGCGGAACGTCCGGTGGAAATACCGTATCAGAACCGGATATATAATTAGTATTATTAATAGACGCAACAATTTCAGCAATAGTTTCATCTGGCAAATCCTCGAAAGTCTCTTCGGTTTTTCGCCTCTTTGTGTCAAGACGCACTTCGGTGTTAGGACGTTTTTCCTGAATTTTCTTCACTCCAGGACTGATATTTATTGTTGTAAAATTGTCTTTTTGATTCGGAGTTACAGTTACTTTTTCAAATTCTCCCATTTTTTTTGCTTGATGTCCTTTTGATTCTAAGGCAGACTGAAGATGAGAAGGTGGCGACTGTTTAAATTCGGGGTCCCAAATAGGTGAATTATCGGAATAAATTTCTTTTTCCAATAATGAAAGAAACCTTAAATATAAAAGATTGTCATTTAGCTTATATTCATAAGATATGAACATGAGAAAGAAGAAAAATGTAAAACATACTTGGGAAAATGTGTTAAAAGTAAAACTCTTTTCTCTGCCGCTATTTTTTCTATTTCAGTGCGACACTTATCCATTAATTGTCTACAAACTGATCTAAATACAGCTTGTAGCAGAGTTTTCCCGAAAACTAATGGAGTATCGTGATGCGGCAACGAGTCGCAAAATGCAGGCACATGGCAAAAGACAAGCCAACGAGTATAATTAATTTTATAAACATTGCCATCTTCAGCATTTCGTCTGGCACTAGGTGCTTCGAAATTCCAATAATTCAGACAGTGCAGAAACATTTTCGCCATATCACACATTACTTGCCATTCTCTTGGAGGCAAATGACTAAATTTATATAAAACAAAATTCATCACTGCCTTTGCTATGCTTGGTCTTTCGAACGGCGGTTGTCCCAATGCATCTTCCACAGCCGGTTTTGTCATAGATAAAATACATCTCCTTAATATTTTATATAAATAAAAATATACTTTTTTAGTATCAGGATCTCCTTCTCTATGTATGCTCATGAAAATATTATCTGCATCAATAGCCATTCCCAATAGTCTATTGATTTCTTCATCAGATTGCACTGGTAAGTGTTTAATATGATTTTCTAAAATATGAGTACACATCTTGCATGGATCAAAAAAGTTTATAACAGGCTGTTGTGTTTCGCCTTTTGGTGACTTTATAATTGGTTGTGTATTTTTCCAACCATTACATTTACATTCTTCTACTTGACAAGCGCTATAATTTGCAAGCTTCAATAATTTCTTGATTTGTGGCCAATTGTACATTTGCTGCTTGCGTTGCTGTATCCTTTGGAGATTGTTTTGTCGATTTGCTTGAGTCTGTGGCTTAGTTGAGCTTGGATCTTTACTTTCCTGCTGCAAAGTATTGGTAACAGGTTGGCTAGTCTCTTCCGAAGAAGCTGGTATTGTTTGAGGTTTGGAATCCTCGGACGCCATCCTTAAAAGAAATATTACAACAATCATATTATAATTAAAAAAATAGTTAAACATATATAAATCAATCGTCAATCATTACAACTTTTTCAAATAAATTAATAAATATATTAATTGATGTTAATAACTTCTACAAGCAAATTAGATTTCAATTCTCTCAAAGCTTAATTTTCGATGATATATCATCGATTTAAGTATTTCATATTTTTGTTTAAATAATTACATTTGTAAGATTCTCACTTTATTATAATCAGCACATTTTCTATGATGTTATGATATAATGATGTGTATTATTATATTATTGAATGGAACATGAATTTTTGACAGATTAGGTTATATAAATTGCATCTCTTCAAATCCACGTTTATCTCTGTCCACGGAAGGTCTGTTCGAATTGTCCGCACCTTCTACTTCCAGATCTTTCGTTTTCTCTTTCTCTCTCTTTAACGGCCAAATATATATTTATCTCGCTTTAAAAATGAAGCGCAAACAACACGAACAGACCTAGAATAGCTTTTGCATACAAGACGCGTCAACATAAAATGAAGTATTGACCAATTAAGTTTATCTCTTACAGAAGGGCTATAAGCTGATTGGCTAAATGTTGTTTTTTTCCACGTATAATAATAATTAAAACTGATTTTAATGATAAAAAATTATTGAAGTTACTAATTCTGAAGCATAATCAATCAATTATGTATAAACTTAAATCTTTTAATTTTTTAATATAATTTTAATAATCAAGTTATCTACAAAAGAATATTCCAAAGACCATTTTCTGGGGAGGTATAAAAAAATGCATATAAAAAAAAGTCATTGTATTTTAAAATCCACATATCTAAATTTCAACATTTTCCATATACTTAAAAATACAAAAAATCTATGAAATATAAATATTTTATTTTTTTATGGGTTTCTTTTATGGTATCTTATGATTATTTCTTCATAGAAATATTATTTTATAATACAATCAAGAGTTGGAGTTTTGTAATATAATTAAGTAATATCTCGAAATTCTGTGTTTGAAACAGAGAAATAATATAGACAAATATACATATTTATTGTATTTATATTTTCTTATATTATATCACACAAGAGAAATGTATTTGAAAAAATTTTACTTATCCCATAGACCAATCTCTTTCATACGTGTCTGAAAATATTTTTCCAGGGCATTAGCACAGCGATAATAATCAGTATCAAGACTATTATACAATCTACAATTTGTAAAAATTCGTGTCATATCTGCTATAAATAATCTTCTAGTTACATAATATCTAGATTTTAAACGATCTTCCATAGTTTTGAGATCTGCAATACAAAGAATCATATTACTGTTATAGAGTTTTATTTATCACTATTTTACTATTACTTATTGCAATTTTTAATTTTACTTATTTAATTTGATTATTTTTTAATTTTATTATTTAAAAGTTTTATAATCTTAAAATAATTTCTAACAAAAATTTCTTACCCATTGGGTATTTTATATGATCATAGTAATCTGGAACATCATCTTTATCTACAGGTTCCAGAAATGGCCAAGCTGTACTGTGATTCTTCACACTATTCAGAACACTATTCAAAGCATTATATAGAGATTCCGACATATCTATGCAATCTACAAGTTCTGAATTTTGCGTTCCTTTCGCTAGACCTCTCGTTCTCGCTTGCGCGTAACTTTTCCATCCGGTTTCTCGAATTCCCGGAATAGATTCTACAGGGATGCCTCTTACACCCTCTTTGAAGCATGTTAAACCAGGATGAACCTTTTGTATTTCTTGTTGTCTCTGATAAATTAATTTCTTGACAATTTCCTTTTGTTTCCTTAAAACTGATGTAAATTCGGTATATACGATTTTAGCATTTAATTCACAGTGCATTAATGTAGCTCTTTCATAATCTTTGATGTATCCTTGATACATTGATTTAGGTAATTTTATATCTTTGCTAAATCCTTGTTTTTTGAAATATCCAATAGCAAACTCATCCGCAAATGTAAGAAAATGCACTATGTTGTTTTTTATATGATAATCTTTCAGCATATTCATCAAATGTGTCCCATAGCCTTTTACTTGCTCTTGGCTTGTAACAGCACAAAACACTATCTCAGTAAAGCCCTGAGTAGGAAACATACGGAAACAAATACCGCCAATTGGACGACCATCCTTTATCAGAGCCAATGTTTTATGCTTTCTGTATATAGTAAATTATGCATATTATTGCTAAAAATAATTTCTTATGTGATAAATAATTAATATATTATTGGTATTTTAAGATATACTCACGGGTCAAAAACAAATTGAGATATATATTCTTTTGGCATTCTGACCAATTGATGGCTGAATACATTATGTAATCCTATCAACCAAAGCATAGTTTGCTTAGACACAGGTTGCGTGAGACTGTTTCCAACAATATGAAATTCTATAATTTTTTTGCTTTCTTCATTTTTTGCAGTTTCATCCCGTGGACCATCCGGTGGAAATACCGCATCAGGACCACACATATAATTGGGATCATTAATAGTTGCAACAATTTCAACAACTGTCTCATCAGGCAAATCCTCAAAAGCCTCCTCGCCTTTTCGTTTCTTTGTATCATGCCGTCCTTCGGAATAAGAACGCTTTTCAGAAAGCTTTCTCATTCCAGGACTAATATTGATTGTAGTATAATTATCCTTTTCATTTGGTGTCACAGTGACTCTTTCAAATTCTCCTATCTTTCTTGCTTGGTGTCCCTTTGATTCCAATGCAGCTTGTAAATGAGAAGGCGGTGCTTGTTTAAATTCGGGATCCCACATAGGCGACTCATTATTATAAATTTCTACTTTTAACATCGAAAGAAACCTTAAATATTTATAATTATGTAGCAGCCATTATATAAAACATTAATATAAAAAGAGGTGAAAAATTTAAGACATACTTAGGAAAATGAGTTAAAAGTAAAACTCTCTTCTCTGGTGTTATTTTATCTCTCTCATTATGACACTTGTCCATTAATTCTTTACAAAGTGGTTTGAATACAGCTTGTAACAAAGTCTTTCCAAAGACTACAGGAGTATCATGATGAGGTAAAGAATCACAAAATGTAGGTACATAGCAGAACATAAGCCAGCGAGTATAATTAACTCTATAAGCAGGACTTTTGTCCATGATACTTGATCGTTTAGCACTGGATGATTCAAAGTTCCAACAATTTAGACATTGCAGAAACATTTTTGCCATATCACACATTACTTGCCATTCTCTTGGGGGTAAATGATTGAATTTATATAAAACAAAATTCATTACTGCCTTTGCTATACTAGGTTTCTCAAATGGTGGCTGTCCTAACGGACCTTCTGCAGTTGGTTTTGTCATAGATAAAATACATTTCCTCAATATTTTATATAAATAAAAATATACCTTCCTAGTATCGACATCTTCTTCTCTGTGTATACTCATGAAAATATTGTCCGCATCAATAGCCATTCCCAATAATCTATTGATTTCATCATCAGGCTGTACCGATAGATGCTGAATATGAGTTTCTAAAGTATGAGTACACGTCTTGCATGGATCAAAAAAGTTTATAACAGGCTGCTGTGTCTCGCCTTTCTGTGACTTTGTAATTGGTTGCGCATTTTTCCAGGCATTACAATCACATTCTTCTGCTTGACAAGCACTGTAACTTGCAAGTTTCAGTAATTTCTTGACTTGTGGCCAATTGTACATTTGTTGTTTACGTTGCTGTATCCTCTGAATATTATTTTGTCGACTTCCATGATTCTGCAATTTGGTTGAATTTGAATCTCTAACGTTATTTTCTTGTTGTAAATTATTAGTAACAGTCTGTCCAGTTTCTTCCAAGGAAGCTGCCATTGTTTGTTGATTAATGTTCTCGGATGTCATCCTAAAAAAATTATTATAACATTATACATTAAAAAAAAAACTACAATTACATAATTAAATAATTTCTTCAATGAATTAAAATGTCTATTTACGTCAAAAGTTTCTCTCGCAATATGAATTAATTACATTGCAATTCATCGCGAATCAAGTTAATAATGCTTTTATTCCCCATGTTTGTCACTTCAAATATTCAATAACAATATTTAGACGCTTACGATATTTTTTTACATATATAGTATGGTCATATTCCTACATATTGTTAGTACTTGTTATTCATTTAAATCGTCTGTTTTTTTAATAAAAGAATGCTTTTAATTTGTAGAATTTACTTAATACACATGTAACCCTATTTCCAGTTATAAGGTTATACTATTAGAGTCCTTTTTTATTTCGTCTCTCTCTATATTCTTGATACCTCGCTATTCTGTATTATTTTAAAAAACAGCTGTTTTATAGTAAATTGAAAATTTTCTTTCCAAGGTTCTAAAATCTACTTGTTAAAGTAAAATTTTTGATTGATCAATGAGAGGAGAAGATCTCTTTGTCTTGATTGGTCGATCAAACACTTGTACTTCTATGAATGAAATTTTTTAACGCAACCATATGAATAATGGAGAGATTATAAAGAAAAAAATTGAGAAGCAAGGGAGAAATAACAAGGGAGAAATAAAAAAAAAAAGTCATTTTTCAGAAGTATTCAAAATAACAAAGGTTTAGTCTCGATCCGATGATTTCAAAGAAAGATTTCAATGTATGAGAATGTCGTTACTCATACGTATATACACATATCATCTACGGCTGCGGTCGAAAAGACGTTCTTTATGCTTTGAAGCAGAGAGAAGACTGAGAGATGTCATGGCCAGCTTTTAGATGATCCCTGGAAGCGATACTCTCTCTATGAACATTAAAAACGAGGACATGAACTACAAAACAAATAATCACGAATGTTCTCAGAGGGTAACATATATGTCCCTCTGATAATACAAATAATATAAATAAAAATATAAATAATTTAATTAATAATAATTTATTATATAAAATAGTATGTCTATATATTAGTATGTCTCTCTTTTCACGCTATTATTTATATTATATATTTATATTATATACTTATATTATATATTTATTTATTTATAAGACTTTTTTTTCTTTTTCTCAACATCATTTATTTATTTATTTAGTTTGCTCTCAGTCTTTTAAAATGCAAAACTAAATATTATAAGATATGACTTTGGAAAAGCGCGATAAAACAATCGAATCATTCGTAATTCAAATCATTAGCATAATATACTATGAATTTTCTACGTTATATATTGAATCGAAATTGTGCGAAAGAGGAAAAAAAGAACAAGCCTATGAATAGACATTTCCATCCTTTACTAAAAAAAAAAAAGAAATTAAAAATATCTCTCAATTTTTTCTCTCTTTCTTCGGGCAAGTCTACATATATAACCAATATGATT